GAGGAGTTGCTTGATCCCCCTTTCCGCCAGGAACTGCTTGAAGCGCTGAGAGGTGTACTCGCCACCTCCGTCTGACTGGAAGCTTTTCAGTTGCGTTCCAGACTCTCTCTCTGCTATCGGTAGCCAGGCGGCGAATGCTGCGAGCGCCATGTCGCGGCTGGGTAGGTTACGATGCCAGACGTATCGAGTGGCGGCGTCGATGAAGCTGATGGTGTAGTTGTAGTTGACTTGTCCTGGTTCGCGATTGTAGAGGATGTCGCTGTAAACCTTTTCAAGTGGTGCGTACGCTGGTGCGCTCGGGTTGTGATGTGGAGCGAATGGTCGATGAGGTAAGTCAGCTTCGGGGCATGTAAGGCAAGTCCCTCGTGCCTTTTGGAGTTCTCTGCCGTCGGGTAGAAGTAGAGAGTCTTTGTCAAGAACTCTTGCTCTTATCGTGTTATTTAAAACCGTGTTACTTGGATGTCCTGTGCGTGCGTGCCAGATTTCTTCCGAGGCGCGGTGTCCGGGTGAACGTTGGTATGCGTCGGAGTTGGAGTAAAAACTGGCGACGAAGTTGGCGCTTCGGTGGACTTCGCGTTAAGTCGGATTTAGCTGTTGTGCGGGTGTTGGTGGTGCTTCGTCGACTGTGACTGGTGTCGTTGTTCCTGTTGCTGCTGATGTTGTCGCTGCTCTCGATGTTGTTGCTGCTGCTGCCGATGTTGTTGCTGCTGCCGATGTTGTTGCTGCTGCCAATGTTGTTGCTGCTGCTGCCGATGTTGTTGCTGCTGCCGATGTTGTTGCGGCTGCCGATGTTGTTGCTGCTGCCGATGTTGTCTCTGCTTCTGTTGTTTGTTGAATCGTCGCTAACGCTCGTGTTCGTTCTGCTTCAGGGATAGTGTGGTGTCAGAATATTATCTTATTGTTCTAGCCTGTAGTGGGGTGCTCTATAGCGAGTACAACCCTTCTAGGGTTTGCTATTTGTATCCTCATTCTTGCTAGTTCAATCCTCTTTCTTTCTTCTAATTTTGTCATGCTATCAGAGCAGGTCGATCCCCTTGGATCGATCCTGTGGGTGGGTTACCACCTCGCTTCCGCTGCTACTTTTTCCTCCCGCCGTGCGCCCCGAGGCGCGCGGCGGTTTTCTGCCCGCCGTGCGCCCCGAGGCGCGCGGCGGTTCTTTGCCCGCAAGCGGCCCCCTCAGGTCGCCTCGACGGACGACGGGAGGGGCGAGCTGTGGGGTGGCGGGTATGGGGGTGGCCGGTGTGCCTTCCTCCCTTGCTCCTCCTCCTCCTTCGTCTCCCACTGCTGCAGCTGTCGCTAAGGGGGGTGGTTGTGTGGGAGACTGGGGTTTAGGGTTTAAGGGGGGGTGCGTGGGAGTAGAGCTAGCGGTGTAGCAGTGGGTGTGTATCAGGGGGGTGGGACTGTGTGCGGGAGGATGAGCGGAGGTTGCCAGTTTGTCGTCAGCAGCACCTGTAGTCCGGGGCGCTGTCCCGGTAGCCCAGTGAGCTAGACTTCTACGCCAGCCGCCTGTGGGTCCGTTGCCCGTCCGCCGCTATTTGAGCCGCGGGGCCTGTTACTCCTGTAGTCCGGGCGCTGTCCGGTAGCCGCTGTGCCAGTCTGCCTCCTGTTGCCCGTGTGTCTGCAGCTTCAGCCGTCGCCTCCTATCTCCTCTCCCCTCACTCTCCCTCCTCCTCCTCACTTGCCCGTTGTGACTACCACTAGCTTTGCTTATAATTGTGAACTCTAAACTATTTCTTCTTGAACTTGTGCTCAGAATGTGTGGTGACATTGTGATCCACCCTGAGCTTGTATTGCTTTGCCTGCTCTGCTGATTACACCCCACTTTGGCTATGGGGGTGTGTCAGAATATTATCTTATTGTTCTAGCCTGTAGTGGGGTGCTCTATAGCGAGTACAACCCTTCTAGGGTTTGCTATTTGTATCCTCATTCTTGCTAGTTCAATCCTCTTTCTTTCTTCAAACTTTGTCATGTGGGAGTACCAAAAACCTCCCGGGCTGAAGTCGGGGTCGAGATCTGGAGGGTGTGTCCAGTCAGTAAAATTCACGATGGCGTCGCTGTCTGCAGTGCCCAGGTCAGGAACGAAGTCGAGGACGAAGACGTTGTTCTTCAATACTGCTTTCCCGATGTAGAGACCGCCTCTCCCGTGGTATAGCTTGAACTCTTGGGTGGTGCTGTCGGCTTCCAGGTGAATCCCCTTCGCCATCAACTGGCTAACACTCAGTAAGTTGTAACCGAGTCCTTCAGCGATGAGTACCTTTGACATGTGCAGTATGACATTTGTTTCTCTTGACTGAAGCTGTACCACTCCTTGTCGTCGTGTGCGCAGGTTTTGATTGTTGGCGACTGTGATGACAACTTCTCGTTGGAGTCGGTGTTCGCGTTGTACGAAGCGTCCGGACGAGCACATGTGTTGCCCGCAGCAACTATCCAAGAACCAAGTGTCTTGGCCGGACGGTTCACTTTGAGCGATGGCGGCGTAAGTCGGATTCGGGTGGAGTGATTCGCGGCGGGGTGTCCTGTTGTCGAGCTCCTCTTCTGGTGAGTAGTGGGGTGGTGACTCTGTTATGCAAGAATCGTTTATCTTGACCATGCAGTTGACTATGTTTCTTGCTCCTTGTGCAGGTTGTCCAGTTGAAGTCGTTGAAGCTTGAATCGTGGTTGTCGGACTTGCTTGTGTCGAAGCAACTTGGGAGCTTGAAGGCCGCAGTTGTCGCTGTGGTGTTATCTGACGGGACGGGCAATGCGTGCGTGGATGTCCTGATGTTTTGCAGATGTGACAAAACGGAGGTACTGGCTTCGGCTGCTGCTGTCGGTTGTTGTAGTAGTTGTGTCGTCGCTGAGTATGGAAAGCGAACTCCGGTGCTAATGCCTTTTTCTTGTGCCTTTCTTCTTGGAGGTCCATGTACTGCTGCTCGGCGTGGATTTCGACGCAAAGTGCTGCTTCAGAGATTCTTCCGTGGGCTCGAAGAATTGCTTTGGTGGCGCGCCACTGAGGACCGAGGCCACCGATGATGACTGTCACGAAGGCGTCTTCAGAGATTGATCCTCCGCATCGAAGAAGCTTGTCGCGCAATTTGCGACATCGGCTGATATACGCCAGTCCCTTTTCTCCTGGTTTCATTTCAACTGTTGTCAATTGCGCCATTAACCTGCTCTGGCTTACACTGTCTGTTGCCTGATACAGGTTCTTCAGATGACCGTACGTGAGTTCCGCCGAGTTGCCGAAGTTCCGGTAAGAGCGAATGTTCTGCTGCTGAGTTGGTGTGATGTTTCTAAGTAGAATAGTATACGCCATCATCGATTGATACGTATACTGCTGCTTCTCATACTGTGTGCCGTTTGCTGGATACCGCAGGGATCCGTCGAAGAAGCCGAGTATCTGCGCGCCCTCCATCATCAGCTCGAATTCAAAGGACCAGGTGAAGAAGTCCTTTCCGTCGAAGGGTCTTGATGTTTGCAGTTTCAGGACATGCGCGAATTGTGACTGAACTTGTAAAGCGTCCATTGGTTTGTCTTGCGCAGGTGAATGTTGAGGCAGGAAGCTGATCGACCCGCGCTCGTACGGGGCAAAGGTGGGTTGCTGCTGTTGATTCCCTCGCGCATATGACGATCCGTCAAGGCTCATGGGTGTCGCTCCGTTGTTGCTGTTGTGTGTCTGTGCAGGTCCCGACTGCTGGTGTTGCTCGTAGAAGGACATGAAGGAGAAAAATTTCTCCATCATGCTCTGGTCGAAGTCAGAAGGATGGTTCGTGGGGGTCTCGGTTGACGTTCCCCTTGGTCTTACTGCCGTGCCTTCCTCTGTCTGCAGGCCAGAGGCTGGTGGTGGAGTAGGAGTAGTACCCGAGGAGCCATTAGGGAAGCTCCTTTCCTTGTTTGTTGCCATGTCTTGTAATAATCAAAAAGTTAGAGTTTTCCCCTGTCAGCTCTCATACCATGTTGGGCTGAGAAAGCCCTTAAGGATCTTTGCAGAGGATAACTCTGGGTAGGATATTTGTAATAGCGGAAGCGTTTAATGAAGTTTGTGAACCGACCTTGCACTAGTGTGTGAGAGCAAAGTGGATTAAATTAAACAAGCAAATACAAGGTTTTATATAAGAGTACAGGGAATACGAATGGATAGATAACTGTATTTGCTGTTGCGATTCGATACAGTGCGACTCGGGCAACTGCTCTGTAACGAGTCAGTTGTGTGTCCTTAACTGTCGCGCTGTAATTGTCGAGTCAAAGGTCACTGACCTTTGACTTTCCCGTAACCTCCAGGCGGTTACCCTAACCTCCGAGGTTTGACTCGATGCTTCGATTCGGACTGCTTCGCTAGTGTCTTGGGTTTTGACACGACAGAAGCGCACTAAGACTTATTGTTTCCAACAGTCGTGTGGGTCACTTATTCTTCTGAACCAAAAAAAAAAACTTATCCCATGGGCTACTGCGGAGGCATCAACAGGAGCAATCAGTCTGGAGGACAGAGCTGTAGTTAATGAAAGTGCCAGAGCCCGTGCAAGGGCATGGCAGGGAATAATGGGGTGATAAGATGATGATGTGATGGGGAAATGGTTTGATGGTGCGATGGAATGACAGAGGAATGAGGTAATGGGATGGTGGGGTGAAAGGATGATAGGGTAATGGGTTAACGGGATATGGTATCATGTGGTGAATGGAGTGCCAATGGCAGTGGTATTGATACAAGCTATAAAGCTGATTCGGTAGAGGCAGGTTCAATACAAGGCGATGGGGACCCATGACGAATCCGCAGAGATTAGCGACCAGATCAACATGAGAAGGCTGGATGCGCCACACGCATTTGCTCTCGGTCCAGAAGACGTGAACCAGCTCTCCGCCTTAATGACTCCGTTCCCCCCGCGTTTCCAGCCCTTCATCACCCTCACCACAATGGCCTCCCGATCCCACTGCCTCATCAAGGGCGGGCTACTCCTGGCATGGGCCGGGCGACGGAGGAGAGAAAAGGGGGAAGACCGAGGTGGGTGGGTAGGAGAGAGGGGTCAGAGAGTGGCTTTTAAAGGAGGGACGTCAGAAAGAGACGGCGTGCGCTGCCCATCGGATTCCACTGCCTCCTCGGGGGCTGTTGTTTCTTGTGGGAGAAAGGGGTAGGGGAGAGGCGTGGCAGAGCACAAAGGAGAAACTTCTCACGGCTTGCATCGTTCACCTCACCTTTTTGACCAAGCCATCGCCTCTTACGACCCCCGTATCCCTTTCAGCCCCCAACTGTTAATCCTTTTGATATCCTGCCTATACCCTCGCCCCCTGCCCTCACTCACCTGTATGCGTGGCCATGCGTGTCCTGTGCCACCAGAGTTTATCCCCCCCCCCTCTCCTAATCCCCTCTTCCCCTCCTCCCCGCCCCCCAATCGCTTACCCGTATCATCCCTGCAATTCCCATGGCTCACCCGTAGCCGCGGCCACTCGCGCCAGCTTGCGCAGCCCCATGCGGTCTGCGCAAGCTGGCATGCGGTCGCATGGTGCTGCGCATGCAGTCCTCACACACCTGGCGGGCGGAGGAGAGGTGCGCAAGGGATAGGGGAGAGGGACAAAGGGGGATGCTTCGAGATGTCTCAAACAACTGCACCAGGCGACCTGCTGGCAGACAGTTGGTGCAAACCTGGCGGGCGGAGGACAGGGACACGGGGGGGGAGGAACGGGTGTGGAGGGGAGAGAAAGGGCGAGGGTGTTTCAAGATATTGCAGCACATGCTTCTGCAGAACCATTCAGTGTGCTACCATGTGGTGCTCACACCTGCAGCACACCAAGCAGATGGGGGTCATAGATGGGAAGGGCGGGGATGTTTTGAGACGTTTCAGCACCGGCTTGTACCATGCGGTACGCAGGCACGCATCCTCGCACACCTGCAGGGGGAACAAGAAGAGGTGGGGGAATGGGGAGAAGGGGAGGGGGAAGAGGGGAAATGGCGGGGATAGAGTGGAGGGGAACAGTGGGGGAAGCTAAGAGTGGGGAATGTCGCATAGTGTGTGCACATCTGATCGATCAATTCCGCACGGTTGGCGGGGGGTGAAGAAGTGAGAGGGGTCGGGAATTGAGCAAAACACGGCTGTTTGCAATCACCATCGTCACTCATTTCTCCTCGCTGCGCAACCCTCACACTTTCATCACCAATCAACCCCCTTCCCCCTCCCCCCTCCCTCCCCTTCACCACTTCTCCCCTCTTCCCTGGTGCAACGCACCTGCTTTTGTTCTCCATGCCTTCCACCACCTCCCCCCCTCTTTCCACCACCTCCCCCCCTCTTTCCACCACTTCCCCCCCTCTCTCCCATCTTCCAGCCCTCTCCCAGCCTCCCCCACATCTCCCCTCCCCCGCGCCAGACTCTACCCCCCCCCCCCCCCCCCCCGCCCGGAATTTTTCTATCGCGCACGACAAGCACAGAATGAGGATGAGGAGAAAAAGCTGGGAGGAACGGGGGCGAAGGCATGGGGAGAGGAGCAGGGAGGGAGAAGACAACCCTCCAACCAGCATCGAAGGAGGTGACAATGGCACCAGAATTCTCAAAAGCGGCAAGTTGACGGCTCTCTTGATCGTCTTTTGACGCCATTCGATTCGCTGCGACGCATGCGACGAATTTCTCGCAATAAACGCGGCGCTACGAATTTTTCTCGGTGCTCAAGGAGCAGCTAGCGAAGCGCGCCGACCCTCGCTCGACTTGCCATCGCCCATAGGAGGCATGAGAGATGATGGTGAGCAATGTTAGTGCAATTGCTGAGTCAGCTCATACGGTGTCCAAATGACGCAACAGTGGCGCTCCTTTTGACACTATTCTTCGAGATTATGACAGAGCAGTTACAGAAGGGAAGAAGAAGCAATTATGGCCATCAGAGGACCATTAGGTCAAGTAACTCCCTCAAGCCCGTCTGGCAGCATGTGGATGAGAGCATGTGCGCAGACAGTGGGATGAAAGCTAACAGACTTACTTAACTGTAACAGACTGATATTAACAGACTTAGGAAAACCAAAAGATTCACTTGTGCTCGTCTGACAGCATGTGGATGAGTCGGTGATTTTCTCCTTGGGCAGCTTCACAGATCGGGACATGTCTTGCTGCCTGGTAAAGGTCAGGGAGAGATCTGACAGCTTGACAGCAGCGTGGGTGTAGACCATCCCTGTTGCTCCAATCACCTGTGGACACGTGTGCAGATGATGGGATGAGGGGGGAGAGAAAGAGGAGGGAAGGAGGAGGGGGGAGGTGAAAGGAATGAGGTTTGGAAAAAACACGATTGGAAAAGTGAGGTTTGGAGAGGAGTGCAACACGCGAGGTTGTTGAGACACCCTCCACTCATACAACCATTAGCAGCGTTCGAGACTAGTAGCCGCATCAGAAACCAGTAGGCACGCCAGATCTCTGTCGCACATCCCACAAATCATGCTACCAGGCTTTTGGCAGGCATGCGGTGCATGAGCCCTGGAAACAGCACGAGGTGCTGGTGCTTCTCTCAGACAGAGGGAGAGGGCGTGACCAAGTGTGCAGAGACTGTGCTTGGCTCATGGATCGGATCAAGTGCATGCTCTCGACCCATGAGCCTGTCCGATCCAGAGACTGCAGAGACAGTGCTTCTCACCTCATCCATGTCAGCGGGTGGCAGCATGTGCTTGATCCGATCCATGAGCCCCTCAAACAGCACACGCTTCTGCTTCTTCTCTGCCAGCGAGGCTGCCATGCTGGCGTGGATCTGCACGGCTGGCAGGTGCAGTGCAGGAAGTTGTTCACCTCCAGACCCAGATCGAACTTGCTCCCCCAGCAACCCTCTCCCCCAGCAACCCTCTCCGCCAGCAACCCTCTCCCCCAGCAACCCTCTCCCCCAGCAACCCTCTCCCCCAGCAACCCTCTCCCCCAGCAACCCTCTCCCCCAGCAACCCTCTCCGCCAGCAACTTTGTCACTTCAACGCGCCGCCTGTCAGTGGGGAAGAAGGGTGGCCAAGTGGGGAAAGGAATGTTGCACATCAGCTGGATGTTTGCACGGCTGGCAGGGATAGTTGACCACCTCCAGCGCCGGGTCAATCTCGCACTCCACCAGGAATTCTGTCACTCCACTCGATCCGCTGTCTCTCTAATCTCACACTCCACCTCTCATTACACCCTCCAAACAGCCACACAGGTTGCTCGTTTCCAGCGCTTCAGGTTGCCTGGAGCTTGTTGGAAATCGTTCACGCTCCACCAGGAACTGGTCACCCCAACCAATGCCACGGCTGTCGGTGGGGAGAGCGGCAGGGCCAGCCCAAGCAAGAACGAAGGCATTACACACAATCTCTCCTTTTCCCACACAAACTATCTTCCAAAGAAGCACTCACTTGCTGGTCCGGCCGTCACTGGGAGCACCGAACAGCGCCCCACTCCACGACGACTTCCTGGCAGCCTCCAACAGAAAGGGGGCGGGGGGGAGGAAAGTGGCCAAGGGGGGAGGAGAAGGGCGGGGATAAGAAGAGGGGGCGAGGGGAAGGAGACCGGGGGGGGGGGGGGTTGGGGGAGAGTGGGGAGGAGGGAGAAGGCGGGGAGGAGGGGAGGAGAGTCGGCAGAGGAAACGTAGAGAGAGAGAGGGTGGCAGGAAGGAGAGTGGGCAAGGGAAAAGAAAGGGGGCGAGGGGAAGAAAGGGCTGGATGAAGCATGAGTTTGCACATGAATCATTGGGAGTGGGCGAGCTGAGAAAGGAGAAAGGCGAACAGAAAAGGGTGAAAACTGAAGGATCATGAGGGATCTGAATGGTCACAGAAAAAGTGGAAGAGCGACGGAGAGGGAAAGGAGAGCAGAAAAAGAGAGGAGGGGGAGAAGAGGTAAGGGGAGGGCGAGCGATGAAGACAAGAGGGCGGAATGAGGTCATAGGAGGAAAAGCCGCCAGAAAGGAGGGAGCGGAAACCAACCAGGTAGGTAAAGCATGGCAGGCAGGCAGGCAGGCAAAGCAGTCAGAGCATGGCAGAACAGGGCATGAAAAATTTGAGCCTCCAGCAGGGAAAACACCTGAAAGATGTGCCACTACTAGCACATCACCCCCGCCTCAACGCCTCACCCCCGCCTCAACGCCTCACCCCCACCTCAACGCCTCACCTCGAGCACGGTGGGGGAGGCTAGTCCAGTGCCTTGCACGCTCCTTGGGGAGAACAGGAGGATGCAATTGGGAGGCGAGAGAGAAGGCACAGGTTGAATGAGGGAGGGAGAGGGAGGGAGGGAGGGAGATAGGGAGGGAGGGAGGGGGGAATGGAGGGAAGGAGGGATGGTGGGATGGAGGGAGGGAGGGAGGGAGGGAGGGAGGGAGGGAGGGAGGGAGGGAGGGAGGGAGGGAGGGAGGGAGGGAGGGAGGGAGGAAGGGAGGGATGGAAAGAGGAAGAGAGGAGCATGGGATTAGTTTTTTTTGGCCATGAGCGAAAGTCAAAAGCTTGTGTTATTGTGATTTGAACTGAGCAAAAGACAAACTAAAGCGGGAGAGAGAGGAGAGGAGGGAGGAATGGAAGGAGGGAGGGAGGGAGGGAGGGAGGGAGGGAGGGAGGGAGGAAGGGAGGGAGGGATGGAAAGAGGAAGAGAGGAGCATGGGATTAGTTTTTTTGGCCATGAGCGAAAGTCAAAAGCTTGTGTTATTGTGATTTGAACTGAGCAAAAGACAAACTAAAGCGGGAGAGAGAGGAGAGGAGGGAGGAACGGAAGGAGGAACGGAGGGAGGGAGGGAGGGAGGGAGGGAGCGAGGGAGGGAGGGAGGGAGGGAGGGAGGGAGGGAGGGAGGGAGGGAGGGAGGGAGGGAGGGAGGGAGGGAGGGAGGGAGGGAGGGAGGGAGGGAGGGAGGAGGAGGCAGGGAGGGAGAGAGGGAAGGAGGGAGGGAGGGAGGGAGGGAGGGAGGGAGGGAGGGGGGGAGGGAGGGAGGGAGGGAGGGAGGGAGGGAGGGAGGGAGGGAGGGAGGGAGGGAGGGAGGGAGGGAGCGAGGGAGGGAGGGAGGGGGGAAGGGAGGGAGGGAGGGAGGCGGGAGGGAGGAACGAGAAGAGGGAGTAAAGAAGGGAGGAAAGAAGGGAGGAAAGGAGGGATAGGGAGAGGGAGGGAAAGAAACTAGCTCTCAGCTTCTGCAGAAAAAAAAAGGCATGTGGTTGCTTAGGACGCGTCACAATTGAAACACCGATCTTGCGCAGGATCGGTGTTTCGCGGCTACAGCTCATTCGCGACGTCGTTAATTTCTGGTTATCTGTTTTTGTCTTTTGTCGCCAATGTATAGTAGTCCCCTCGGAGTCGGGCGATCGATGTGCCCTTGCCACACATCGATCATGCAATTTCGTCCACATCGGGCAATTTTGCCCCATGATTTTTCGATCGTGTCACTTGGGACTTGCGGCGGGCCCGCGATTGCAAAAATTCAGTCGTGGCACACCGATGTGGCGATCGATTTGGCAGGATCGGTGAACAAGCCCGATCCTTCCTCGGTATTTTAATTGTGACGCGTCCTTATGTAACGCCGGAAGAGTGTCGAGGAGACAGGCAAGAATAATGCATACATATAGCGAATAAGCTGGCTGGGATGGATTGTAATGCAGGGTAGGAGTGAGTGCCTGAGTGGATGTAAGCAGCAAGAGTGAGAAGCATCTCCTCTGTGACCTCATAGTGCACCCTTGCTGCCATGTGTGTCTGACCGACCAGATTTAAGCAGCGAGGGGCGAGCACGGCAAGGCAAGGGAGGGGATGCTACGGCAAAACAAGGCGATCCTTGGGGGGACCGGGAGGGGCAAGGCAAGAGGGTCCTTGGGAGGGACGGGGAGGGGCAAGCCTGCAAGCCAGGGGAGGGGAAATGCAAGGGAGGATGAAATTGGCAGTCGGGAGACCTGGAATGGGTGGAACAGAGGAGATCAAGGGAGGGAGGTATGAGCATATCTTCTGCAGCTAACGGCAAAAAAAAGAGACGTTTGGTTGTTCTTATGCAAGGCGAAACCCCAACTGCCATGCAGGGGACCCTTCACTGCACTCCCACTTCCACTGCCTCATTTGCTCCTTCTGCTGGCATCCCATGACATCCAATGACATCCCATCTCATCCCATCTCATCCCATCCCATATCATTCCATACCATCCCATCCCATCCGATCTCATCCCATCCCATCCCATACCACTCCATACCATCCGATATCATCCCATCCCATCCCATACGATATCATCCCATCCCATCCCATCCCATCCCATCCCATCCCATCCCATCCCATACCATCCCATACCATCCCATCATCCATCCCATCCCATCCCATCCCATCCCATCCCATCCCATCCCATCCCATCCCATCCCATCCCATCCCATCCCATCCATCCCATCCCATCCCATCCCATCCCATCCCATCCCATCCATTCCCATCCCATCCCATCCCATCCAATCCCATCCATTCCCATCCCGTATCCCATCACCGTCCAACTCTCCCGTCCCATTCCACCCCTCCCATTTGCTCCCCTCCCTTCCCACCCAACTCTGTACACCACGCACCTGACTGTCAGACCCGCTGCGTCCAGCTGGGCTGACCGGAAACACATCCCCCAAGCCAAGAGGCATGTCCACCACCAGCACGTAGCCACCCCCACTCTGTCCGCCACGTCAGCAGGCACGAGGAAGCCCACGGACATGCAGAGCATGCATGCAGCGGCAGCATGCGCGCATGGGTTGAGGAAGAGGGCAAGCAGGGGGCGGCTGGAAGTCTCTAGGTCCAGTCCAGTGAGCAGGGGCCGGCCGGCGATGTGCAGGGCGAGCAGGTGGGGCAGTGAGGGGCCGAACACGCCGCCGTCCAGCAGCGTTACTTGCCAGGCGCATGTGGCGAGGGCCACTGCAGGTTCACTGTGACGGAAGAGGGCTGGCGGGGAGGGGAGGGGAAGATGGGAATGGGGGGAGGAAGGATGGAGGGAATGTGGGTTGGGGGGATGGGGGGAATGCGGGGATGAGGGAACATTGGCATGCGACTAGAGGCATGCAGGGAGAGGTGGGGGTTGAGGGGCACAGGAGAAGAGGCATCCAGGGGGAGGAACGGAGTGATAGGGATGAGGGTGAGTGGCATATATGTAAATGGAAAGAGGCAAGGGTGATTAGAGCGGCGTATGAGAACCGTTGGACATGCAGTGAACGGGAGGGGGATGGGGAAGTGGAAGGGAAGGGGGGACGGGGAGGGTGACGGGTTAGAGGAAGGGAAGGTGAGTGGGGAGGGGGAACGGGAGGGGTGTGGGGAAGCGAATAGGCAGGTGACGAAGGTGGATGGGGAGGGAGGTCCAGATTGGGACCAGCGTGCGCGTGCCATTCGCGGGAAGGTGATTGCCAGGCCACCCAGCCATGCGTGTAACGCCACCCAGCCATATGTCACCTCAGCAGGACACCTCTCGCAGATCGCACCTGCTCGGCTACCTGCTGGTGGCGAAGGCTAGGGGCCGTCTGGTCGGCAGGAAAGATGATGAAATGGCCGCCCGGACCCACTGCCTGCGCGTGTAGTGCCCAACTTTCAGCAACTCTCCGTAGCCTGTGAGAGGGTGACATGTAGCATGAGGGGGGATGGAGGGGGGAGAAATGACAAAGGGGGTTAAGGGGGGGCTGGGGGGGAAGAAAGGGGGTAAAGGGGGAGGAAAAGAGGGGGGCTGGAGGAGAGAAGGGAGTATACATTTCTTGCAAGGGGTACACAATGAATGGATATCTGAAACAAGCATAGGAGGATAAGGAGCAAACATTGGCGAGGATCCGGGGGAACATGCACGGGAGAAGAGCAGGTAGGGAGAAGACGATTCTCCCACCCGCGCTGAAGGCGACGATGAGGAAGGCAATGTTTGATCGCCGTTTGACCCACCATCGCCATCGCCAAATGCTCGTGCAGTCCGACGCCTGCGATGCTCGCGACGTTGCCTCGTGACTTGCTACGACTTTCTCGGCACTCGCTGAGCAGCTACTGAGCCCGTGACGCCGCTCGCTCGACTTGCCGCCGCCAATCCGTAGCATTAAGGATGTCGGCCAGCAATATTAGCACTAATACTGATTCAACTCATACGGAATCCAGATGACTGGGCAAAAAACGACGTTTTGAGATCGTTATTTGAGAATACTACATCATAGGGCCAGTTACGGAAGAAAGGCCGATAAAGGAATCATGGCCATAGAGGCCCATTTTGCTCGGGGCAGAGAGAAATTGGCTGGAAGCTGCGGGAGGGAGGGCGGGAAATAAGAGTATCCGCCGTTTCTTTCTATGATGCGCCGTGCCAATTGCGCACTTGTGCTTCTTGCGACGGCGGCGGCGTCGTCGCACAAAGGAGATTGTGCGATGGTGAGGAGGAGGAAAATGATGGGGCGGGGGAGGACATGCGAAAGCGGAGTTTAGACCACGTTCTGACATCACGCGCTAGTGCCATATTGCCGATTTTCAAGTAAACTCAGAATTCGCACGACTGTGCACTGTCAACTCTTATCTTATCGCTAGACCACTTGACAGTTCTAGATCGCGATAAGGTAGGATTGGGTCTGAGAGGCTATACGGGCTCAGCAGCTAGTTTCCTATGTCATCAGGTCGCGAGGTTGTGAACGGGCTGGTCGCATTTTCAAATATGTTAGTACCTCTTCGTATGCTGAAACCGTTAGGGCGCGTGTCTTTTAAAATTTGGGCAGAAGTTCACGTTTTTTAGTCTAATTTTGGCAATGAACACTGGTCTACCTGTAGTTGACATCTCATAATTTAATTGTCGAGTCGCGTGTTCACCTTTGACGTGGAGCACATGGCCAAGAAATGCTTGACTTCCAAAGTTCGACTTTGTACAGCATAGTCCGAATCGCGCCTAACTTTCGTAGGTTACCGGGTCTGCACAGTGAGGTTCGTTGGCGGTTAAAACTTCGGTAACCGCGCGCGAGGTGGCTCGTTACCGTCGCGAAGCTCGCAGCTTCTTCGTGCGTGAGCAGCAGAATACACGATGGAGAACGTGCTTGGGGAAAATAATATGCGAGGTTGACCCGAGTTCAGTGTCCTGCAGTTTTCTTCAACTCTGAGCTTGAGCACATCGTCAACAGCTCTAAACGAAGTTTGCGAAACTGGTTATCAGCAGAGGGTTACCTTTTAAAAAAACTTCCCCACCAGAAGATCCACGCCCTTATGTATCATACGCTGTTGTGCTCGTTAGGGTTTCGTCGAGTTCTGTTATTGTGAGAGCGAATGAGGGGGTCGGTGTTCGTCAAACAAGGTCAGCCACTGCCCTGCTTCGTCTGACTTGCAGACAATGCGGGATTTTTGGGTTCGACATGCACTGCTGGCATGCCACGCCACCACAGAAACTCGTCACGTTAGAGTTCGCGAGTGCAGGGTAACTTGACGGTTAGTTCGCATTTGCCGAGATCCACACTCCACTGGTGAATGGGACGTCGCAACTCGCGAATTCGACGCCGTTAGCGATGTTGGCCTGTCGCAGCCAGTAAAAAATTGAGAACAATTTGGCAAGAAACTGGACCTCCATTTCACTAGCTCAACTCCCACCCACCTCCCTGCTGCCTTGTACTACCTCATTTTGCTGAAGTTACCTACTTCAAGCTAGGAAGTTCCTCTTAAATCCCTCAAGTTTGTCGAAGTCTCTTGGCTTAACCGCCTGCAGATATTCACTCGTATCTATTGACGCTTAAAGTCACTGCTACTCGTTGCTCGCAGCTTCACAAGTGATAAAATCTACAAATTTAGAGTTTCCCAGAAGCTCGCCGCACCTCGATGGCAACGGACGGCGCGGGACGAATCATTCGGCTCGGACTACTCATTTTTCTGACGTTTATCGCCGTGGTTTCTCCAGTCCAATGTGTCCCGCTCGCCGACTCCCAAGGTTCGTCGTAGAAAGAACTTGGCCCCGTTCAGTTGACCGCCGCTGCTCTCAACCTCCACGCCTCCAATCTTCATGTATTTGTTGCCCTTAAAAATTTCATGTGTTATGGAGCCTTGGTAACGGTAGTAGACTGCACCAGCAAGGGTTCCATGGAGGCTCTCACACCACGATGGCACCACGCAGGACGCATCCAACTTCGCTCTGTGATCGTGCCTACGCGCCTCGTCACAGTTTCCCGACTCCGCTCTGTCTTCCGCTACAAAAGTTCGTCTTCGGTTCAATCTTATGCACAATGTTGGTTTCAGCAATGGCGCGAATCGTGCCACGGTGGCGGATTGTCAAGTCAAGTGGCGCTATCGCACGTATCCATCAGATCCATGCTTCTCATCCATAGAATGATGCTTAACAGCTGTATCCGCCAACTTCGAGTTCGGAATTGCAGCAGTTTGCAAATCGTTTCACAGCATCATAGCAATTTTCCCAACATTCTCACCATGAACAATTTTCTCGTGCTTGCCCATCACACCTGTCTGCTCTATTGATGTCTGGTGAAGGGTTTGAAAGAGGGAGGGAAGGCTGTATGAAGTTGATGAGCTGATCAATCTCTTCTTCCCCCCCTCCAAAGAAGGGTGTTGTTTCTCCCCAATTTTTTTGTCTCCTGCTCCATTGGGGGAGTTTGATGTGTGGGTAATTTGCTGCCATGGGTGGATGCAGGAATCGCAAGGCGCTGTTGCTCATTTACGACCACGAGTACTAGTAGTAATCACTTGCTGTGCCCGATGGAGCTGAGGACTGCTCATCCCCCAACAGTAGGAGAGAGCTTATGAGAGCTGTTTTTTTCCTTCCTCCGTTTCCTGCCCACTCCCTCCTTCTGTCCTTCTCTTGCCCTCCTGCTTCCCTCTCCCCCACCATCTGCCGCCAGAGCAAGTCCTGCAGGACTTGCAGCAAGCGTGGGGGCAGACATTCTCTGGGTGGGTGGCTGGGGGGAACTGCAGCTGGGCCTCCAATTTGATCTGCGATGCCAAAGGCATGGTGACCGACATGTGAGAGCACCAACTCTAGCTGGTCTTGCTTCTCTTGAATTGGATGCCTCTGTTTTCTTTATCGCGTCACCATTCTGTGTGCTCTGTATTTGCAATTACTTGGTGCATTTCAACGAGTAAACCCTTGCTGACCAAACACTCTCTCCAGATGCCTCTGTGTGTTTCTTTGTATATCGCTTGCACTCCCTTTCCTCATGAACCGGTCTTTCCATTGTCCCTCCCTCTTCCAATCTAACCGTCTGCTTTGGTGAACCCATTAGGATGGTCCCTACTGGTTTTGAAGGCTTGTTCAGGTCAATTGCCTTGTTAACCTTTGGGCAAGTGAGCATCTTCCATGTGGAATCTTGAATAACCTCCCATGTTGCATTAGTTCTATGTCTAAATAACTAGAAAAACGGGGTCATACAGAGGAAGATAGCATGATAGGCACAACTTGTAGAAAATCAGACCTATGTGCACAATGTGCACAAGGAGAAGCTGATTCTGAGATGTTGAAAAAGGTTTACAAACAGAAAAATAACTGAAGTAATGAATACAAGCAAAACAAAAGCTAAAATAGGCAGAAAGTGAAGAGAGCTAGCTTGGAGGCGACTTGGGCTCGTCCAGTTGAGAAATTTGGTACCCCAAGGGACTTGGGGTGGCCAAATGGGTGCTCAAGTCGCCCACAGTCAAGATGGGGACGTAAGGGACCCTCAAAGTGGGCCTGGAAGCGTCTCCTCTAGTGGAACCGCGATTCCACGAATTGGAAACGCGAATTCCAAGCTGGAGCCGCGTTTCCAATGTTGAAATTCGTGGGTCAAGGCTGGAGCCGCGTCCCCAAGGATGGGAAACGTGCTGGGGTGCCCCAAAGGCGAATTTGGGGTGCCTAGCACTTGATAAAGTCACTCAGGGGGCACCCTATAACTAATATAACCCAACCCCTATTGTCTACACTATTATAATGTAAGCAAATACATACAAACCATAAAACAAACTAGTGAACTAACCTTCAGCATAATTAAAGGAAAATAAGTACCTAACAACACCCCCCCTTAGGGTGACACCGAGGGAGAGGTCAAAGAAGAAGTAGCAGGGTGAAGGTTGATGCAGGACTGTAGACGCTGAAGTGTGTCACGAGGGAGAGGCTTGGTCCCCAAATCAGCAAGGTTATCACGGCTAGGGATGTAGTGCAGCGAGATATGCCCTTTGTCAACATGATCACGGAAGAAATGGTGGCGGATGTCGATGTGTTTGGCACGGGCATGGAAAACACCAGCGTCCTTTGCCAAGACAATGGCGCTAGTGTTGTCACAGAGCAGCGGGGTGGGACCAGTGGGGGGAAGGCCGAGAGAGCAGAGGAGAGTACGGAGCCAAAGGGCTTCGTGGGTTGCCGCACCGAGCGCGTAGTATTCAGCTTCACAAGAGGATGTCGCAACTACACATTGCCGCTTGGATTGCCAAAAAATCAGAGAAGGTCCCAGAAAAAACAGGTATGCAGTGAGGGAACGACGATCCTCACTTTTGGAAGCCCATGAGGCATCACAATACCCGACCAGCTGGAGGGAGGCGGGATTGCCACCAAGAAGCAGCCCATGGGAAGAAGTCCCGTTGAGGTAACGGAGAACAAGTCTAGCAGCCAGCCAATGAGGATCCGACCAAGAATGGAGGTGACGTGAAAGGAGTCCAATAGAATGGGCTATGTCAAGGCGAGTGGCACCCATTGCGTACATGAGAGAGCCGACCAAAGAGGGATATGGGAAGGGTTCAGAGGGTGGCAATAAAGAACGTGTTGGAAGGAGGAGCTTAAAGTCCATGTGGGTGTGGCTGGGGTTGGCATGGCTGAGATTGAAGGTAGAGAGGAGTGCAGTAATAAATCTAGACTTGTGAATGAGGAGGGTCCGAGAAGAGCGGTCGCGGTCTAAGTGGAGGCCGAGGTAATAAGTTAATGGGCCAAGGTCACGAAGTTTGAAGCGCGTGGACAGATAAGTCTTGAAGGTGGTAAGAGGAGTGATGGTGGTGGAAAGGATGATGAGATCGTCGACATAGACTAGGACAAGGAAGAAGTGGGAAGGATGTGGAAGAAGAGGTGAGGAGGGTGCAGCAATGAAAAGTCCGGGGTCGGCAGCGGAGGTGTGAAAGCCAAATGTGAGAAGCTCCGATTTCAGCTTTTTGTACCAACACCGAGGAGCCTGCTTGAGGCCGTACAGGGGCTTGTGCAGGAGGCAAACTTGAGGAGAGCCGTTGGCAGGAGGGAGTTCAAAACCGGGTGGTTGGGTCATGTAAATAATCTCGTCAAGGTCGCCATTGAGAAAGGCATTGGAGATGTCGAGTTGATGCATCTCAAGATCAAGGGCAGCAGCAAGGGTGAGGAGCAAGCGAAGCGTAGCAAAGCGAATGGTGGGTGCAAATGTCTCTGTGTAGTCAATGCCCTCACGTTGCTTGAAGCCTTTAATGACCAAACGGGCTTAATAGCGCTTGATGGACCCATGCGGGTTCTCTTTGACCTTGAAAACCCATTTGCAAAGGAGAAGAGTGCAGTCCAGCGGTTTGGGCACAACGCTGTAAGTGCGGTTGGCTAGGAGTGCAATAATTTCAGCGTCAGCAGCAGCAAGCCATTGGGGAGCAGCGGGGCAAGAGCGGGCAGCAGTAATTGTAGGTGGCTCGTAGTGGGAATGAAGAGCAATGTAGGCAAAGTCATCTAAAAAATGGGCTGAGTCGCGATCTTCGTCAAGGATGGTGTTAACAGAGGGGTCAGAGAAGTTGAGCTGAAGGTCTTGGGCAGTCGGGGTTGGAAGAGGAGGAAATAGAAGAGGTGAGGAAGTGGGTGTGGAGGCTGGCTTCTGAAGGGAAGTGGGAAGGGTGAAAGGCTGAAAGGGAGGGGTGGGGAGTGTGGGAAAGAGAGGTGCAGACGGAGTAGCAGAGGGAGAGGTTTTTGCGTGTGTAGCAGGCAGCGGAGGAGGATTGATAGGGTCTGGTGAGGAGGTAGGTTGGGAAGGCGGGTGAAGTGACAAAGTGACAGGTGCGGGAATAGGGGGTGATGGTAGAGGCGGTGGCGGGTGAGGGGGAGTTGAGGGGGAGGTTTCAAGGAATGTGACATCCCGAGAGTAGACAACCCGGCGGATGGAGGGGATATAAGCGCGATATGCTTTGTAACCATCAAGGAGACCATGGCCGAGGAAGATGTCGTGAGCACTGCGGTCATGTAACTTGTATTCTCGATAAAGAGTAGGTAGAAGCACGGAGACAGGGCATCCAAACACGCAAAAATGGGTGACGTCCGGCCGCTGACCTGTCCATAATTCCAGAGGCGTGACATCCCGAGGGAGTGAGCGAGAAGGAGAGTGATTGCGAATATATGCAGTAGTAAGGGCTGCTTCTCCCCACCACCCACAAGGAAGACCGCTATCATGTAACATGCACCGCACCATGTCAAGGATGGTGCGATTCATCCGCTCAGCGACACCATTTTGTTGCGGGGTGTATGGTGTAGAGACCTGTCGGGTGATGCCACGCGAAGCGAAGAAAGCTTGAAAAGCGTCGAAAAGATATTCTGGGGCGCCATCGGAGTGCAAGACCTTGAGATGTGTCTTGAAGTGGCTTTCGGCTTGGGCGAGATAGCGCTGAAGTGTGCTAAAGACTTCAGAGCGGGATTTGAGAAGGTAGACAGTGGTACAGCGGCTGTAATCGTGAATGAATGTGAGGAGATAGGTGGCGCCGCCAAACGTGGTGCCGATGGGAAATGGTCTAGCGACATCAGTGTGAACAAGGTCAAGTGGGGCTGAGCTGGACGAGGTAGAGTCTGGAAATGGCTGGCGGGTTTGCTTCCCACGAAGGCACGAAATGCAGGTGGAAGGTAGGGAACCGTTGAGGCTGATGCCGCTGACCATCTGTTTGGAATGAAGCTGCTGCAAGCTGTGTCCGTTGAGATGTCCGAATCGCCGATGCCAAAGAAGAGATGAAGCTGCAGAGCAGAATGCGGGAACAAGAGGAGGAGGTGCTGATGCAGTTGAGACCGTGGCCGGCTGCGAAGATGAGGCAGGGCTGAGAGAAACGAAGAACAGCTTCATGTGCTCATGGGCGACACCAGGAACCGTGGAGCCTCGGAACACTTGGGCAGGAGCATGAAGAGGGAAGTGGGTAGTGAGTCCTTAGTCTTTCAGCTTACGAACAGAGATGATATTAGGAACAGTCTGAGGAATGTATAGGACATCCTTCAGGGTGATAGGATGGGTATGGTTGTTGTGACGGGCGTACACAGGAATGTCCCCAATGCCGTGGGCAGCGTACTGCTCCCCACCACCAAACCGGACGCCACTACCAGGAAATGGTTGACGGAGGGAAGAAAATAGATGAGGATCATTGCAGAGATGCGAGGATGCGCCGGAGTCAAGGAGCCAGGAGGAGGAAGAAGGAGAGCTGGTATGCGAGGATGCGCCGGAGTCAATGAGCCAGGAGGAGGAAGAAGGAGAGCTAGCTCCAGCTTGGAATTCGCGTTTCCAATTTGTGGAATCGCGGTTCCACTAGAGGGGGCGCTTCCAGGCCCACTTTGAGGGTCCCTCACGTCCCCATCTTGACTGTGGGCGACTTGAGCACCCATTTGGCCACCCCAAGTCCCTTGGGTACCAAATTCCTCACCTGGACGAGCCCAAGTCGCCTCCAAGCTAGCTCTCTTCACTTTTTGCCTATTTTAGCTTTTGTTTTGCTTGTATTCATCACTTCAGTTAACTTTTCTGTTTGTAGACCTTTTTTTCAACATCTCAAAACCAGCTTCTCCTTGTGCACATTATGCACATAGGTATGATTTTCTACATGATATCAGAGCTATAGCTGAGCCTCTGTTGGTCAGCCTCTACTGCACTACAATAGACCTTTAAGAAACATTGCTCATTTTCCTCCATATTTATGGACCATTGGCTGTACTTCGTTTCCAACGCTTAGCCATCAAATAGCCGTTTTTTTTGTTCATCTTAACTATGGCTACAGTGGACAGTCATTTGGGGAGGCTCACTTTGCCCTCCCTCCTCCCCGATGGCTCCAACTTCAATCATTGGAAGCGGATGGTGGTCCTCACCTTCCAAATTGTGGGCATCGTCGACGCTCTTGGTGATTCCGCGCTCACATCCTCATCCGTCTCTTCTCTACCAATGCTGCGGCCTCCACGGCAGATGCTGCGCCGGCAGCTCCATCCAACCCGGCTCGCCCGGCTGCTACTACCCCTGCCCTTGCAGCAGCAGAACAAGAACAGCGTGCCTTGCTGTACCTTCTCTCCACGCTTCCCACGCAGCTCTCAATGTCTATTTCTCCAACCGAGACCGCTGGCGGGTTGTGGGCTCTTCTCAACAAGAAATTTGCCGAAACCGGCAATCAAGCTCAATTCGGCCTGCTGCGTCAGCTCTTCTCTGTCCGCATGGACCCTGGCCAGCCTGTCCGTGCCTACTTTGACCACGTTCGCGGTCTTGACCTGCAACTCTAGACCAGCAGCTACTGTCTACCCTCTTGGGTGACCATCACGTCTATCCTTTTAAGTCTTCCTCGGTCTTACGACACGCTTACTGAAACGCTTTGCTCGGTCAAAGAAATAAAGGGTATGACCCTTAAGTGGCTCGAGGGACGCCTCGTGGATGCTGAGTGGGACCGTGCAACAAAGAATTCGTCGCTCCCTGCTAATGGTGCTTATGTCGTTCAACCTGGACCCTCCAAGCCTCATTCCAGCACCTCTACCACTTCCTGCCGCTATTGCAAGGCTGCTGGTCACGCCATCACCACTTGCCCTCAACTCGAAAAGAAGATGCCCAGGCAGCAACTACAGCAACAGCACCAATTGCCGTACCTGCCGCAGTCTACATACCAGCCAGAGTCGCAACCGTACCAGCCCCAACAGCCACAGCAGATGCCGTTCCGTTCCCTCTCTCAAAGCTCGCCCAACAAGGCAGCTGCACACACCGCCCTCCCACCTCTGGCATATCCTGCCCACCTGGCCCAGCCTCTCCTTCCCTCTCCTACCTCTGACATTACCTCACCAGCACTCGCGGCTTCTCATTTGTCATCCACGCCACTATCATCTTCGATTGATTCTCGCTATGCCGATGTCGCCGCCGCGCACTTACTCCCTACCTCTTGGCTGCCGTCCCTCCCATCGCTACTACTCCTCATCTCCTTTCTCCTCTGCCTTTTCTCCATCCTGCTCCAGCGGCCTCTCGCCTCCGTCCTCACCAGCTCTCCTTCTTGCTCCTCCTGGCTCCTTGACTCCGGCACATCCTCGCATCTCTGCAATGATCCTCATCTATTTTCCTCCCTCCGTCAACCCATTCCTGGTAGTGGCGTTCGGTTTGGTGGTGGGGAGCAGTACCCTGCCCACGGCATTGGGGACATTCTTGTCTACGCGTGTCACAACAACCATACCCATCCTATCACCCTGAAGGATGTCCTATACATTCCTCAGACTGTTCATAATATCATCTCTGTTCGTAAGCTGAAAGACGAAGGACTCACTACCCACTTCCCTCTTCATGCTCCTGCCCAAGTGTTCCGAGGCTCCACGGTTCTTGCTGTCGCCCATGAGCACATGAAGCTGTTCTTCGTTTCTCTCAGCCCTGCCTCATCTTCGCAGCCGGCCACGGTCTCAACTGCATCAGCACCTCCTCCTCTTGATCCCGCATCCTGCTCTGCAGCTTCATCTCTTCTTTGGCATCGGCGATTCGGACATCTCAACGGACACAGCTTGCAGCAGCTTCATTCCAAACAGATGGTCAGCGGCATCAGCCTCAACGGTTCCCTACCTTCCACCTGCATTTCGTGCCTTCGTGGGAAGCAAACCCGCCAGCCATTTCCAGACTCTACCTCGTCCAGCTCAGCCCCACTTGACCTTGTTCACACTGATGTCGCTAGACCATTTCCCATCGGCACCACGTTTGGCGGCGCCACCTATCTCCTTACATTCCTTGACGATTACAGCCGCTATACCACTGTCTACCTTCTCAAATCCCGCTCTGAAGTCTTTAGCACATTTCAGCGCTATCTCGCCCAAGCCGAAAGCCAGTGCAAGACACATCTCAAGGTCTTGCACTCCGATGGCGCCCCAGAATATATTTTCGACGTTTTTCAAGCTTTCTTCGCTTCGCGTGGCATCACCCGTCAGGTCTCTACACCATACACCCCGCAACAAAATGGTGTCGCTGAGCGGATGAATCGCACCATCCTTGACATGGTGCGGTGCATGTTACATGACAGCGGTCTTCCTTGTGGGTGGTGGGGAGAAGCAGCCCATACTGCTGCATATATTCGCAATCACTCTCCTTCTCGCTCACTCCCTCGCGATGTCACGCCTCTGGAATTATGGACAGGTCAGCGGCCGGACGTCACCCATTTTTGCGTGTTTGGATGCCCTGTCTCCGTGCTTCTACCTACTCTTTATCGAGAATACAAGTTACATGACCGCAGTGCTCACGACATCTTCCTCGGCCATGGTCTCCTTGATGGTTACAAATCATATCGCGCTTATATCCCCTCCATCCGCCGGGTTGTCTACTCTCGGGATGTCACATTCTTTGAAACCTCCCCCTCAACTCCCCCTCACCTGCCACCGCCTCTACCATCACCCCCTATTCCCGCACCTGTCACTTTGTCACTTCACCCGCCTTCCCAACCTACCTCCTCACCAGACCCTATCAATCCTCCTCCGCTGCCTGCTACACACGCAAAAACCTCTCCCTCTGCTACTCCGTCTGCACCTCTCTTTCCCACACTCCCCACCCCTCCCTTTCAGCCTTTCACCCTTCCCACTTCCCTTCAGAAGCCAGCCTCCACACCCACTTCCTCACCTCTTCTATTTCCTCCTCTTCCAACCCCGACTGCCCAAGACCTTCAGCTCAACTTCTCTGACCCCTCTGTTAACACCATCCTTGACGAAGATCGCGACTCAGCCCATTTTTTAGATGACTTTGCCTACATTGCTCTTCATTCCCACTACGAGCCACCTACAATTACTGCTGCCCGCTCTTGCCCCGCTGCTCCCCAATGGCTTGCTGCTGCTGACGCTGAAATTATTGCACTCCTAGCCAACCGCACTTACAGCGTTGTGCCCAAACCGCTGGACTGCACTCTTCTCCTTTGCAAATGGGTTTTCAAGGTCAAAGAGAACCCGCATGGGTCCATCAAGCGCTATTAAGCCCGTTTGGTCATTAAAGGCTTCAAGCAACGTGAGGGCATTGACTACACAGAGACATTTGCACCCACCATTCGCTTTGCTACGCTTCGCTTGCTCCTCACCCTTGCTGCTGCCCTTGATCTTGAGATGCATCAACTCGACATCTCCAATGCCTTTCTCAATGGCGACCTTGACGAGATTATTTACATGACCCAACCACCCGGTTTTGAACTCCCTCCTGCCAACGGCTCTCCTCAAGTTTGCCTCCTGCACAAGCCCCTGTACGGCCTCAAGCAGGCTCCTCGGTGTTGGTACAAAAAGCTGAAATCGGAGCTTCTCACATTTGGCTTTCACACCTCCGCTGCCGACCCCGGACTTTTCATTGCTGCACCCTCCTCACCTCTTCTTCCACATCCTTCCCACTTCTTCCTTGTCCTAGTCTATGTCGACGATCTCATCATCCTTTCCACCACCATCACTCCTCTTACCACCTTCAAGACTTATCTGTCCACGCGCTTCAAACTTCGTGACCTTGGCCCATTAACTTATTACCTCGGCCTCCACTTAGACCGCGACCGCTCTTCTCGGACCCTCCTCATTCACAAGTCTAGATTTATTACTGCACTCCTCTCTACCTTCAATCTCAGCCATGCCAACCCCAGCCACACCCACATGGACTTTAAGCTCCTCCTTCCAACACGTTCTTTATTGCCACCCTCTGAACCCTTCCCATATCCCTCTTTGGTCGGCTCTCTCATGTACGCAATGGGTGCCACTCGCCTTGACATAGCCCATTCTATTGGACTCCTTTCACGTCACCTCCATTCTTGGTCGGATCCTCATTGGCTGGCTGCTAGACTTGTTCTCCGTTACCTCAACGGGACTTCTTCCCATGGGCTGCTTCTTGGTGGCAATCCCGCCTCCCTCCAGCTGGTCGGGTATTGTGATGCCTCATGGGCTTCCAAAAGTGAGGATCGTCGTTCCCTCACTGCATACCTGTTTTTTCTGGGACCTTCTCTGATTTTTTGGCAATCCAAGCGGCAATGTGTAGTTGCGACATCCTCTTGTGAAGCTGAATACTACGCGCTCGGTGCGGCAACCCACGAAGCCCTTTGGCTCCGTACTCTCCTCTGCTCTCTCGGCCTTCCCCCCACTGGTCCCACCCCGCTGCTCTGTGACAACACTAGCGCCATTGTCTTGGCAAAGGACGCTGGTGTTTTCCATGCCCGTGCCAAACACATCGACATCCGCCACCATTTCTTCCGTGATCATGTTGACAAAGGGCATATCTCGCTGCACTACATCCCTAGCCGTGATAACCTTGCTGATTTGGGGACCAAGCCTCTCCCTCGTGACACACTTCAGCGTCTACAGTCCTGCATCAACCTTCACCCTGCTACTTCTTCTTTGACCTCTCCCTCGGTGTCACCCTAAGGAGGGGTGTTGTTAGGTACTTATTTTCCTTTAATTATGCTGAAGGTTAGTTCACTAGTTTGTTTTATGGTTTGTATGTATTTGCTTACATTATAATAGTGTAGACAATAGGGGTTGGGTTATATTAGTTATAGGGTGCCCCCTGAGTGACTTTATCAAGTGCTAGGCACCCCAAATTCGCCTTTGGGGCACCCCAGCACGTTTCCCATCCTTGGGGACGCGGCTCCAGCCTGAACCCACGAATTTCAACATTGGAAACGCGGCTCCAGCTTGGAATTCGCGTTTCCAATTCGTGGAATCGCGGTTCCACTAGAGGGGGCTCTTCCAGGCCCACTTTGAGGGCCCCTCACGTTCCCATCTTGACTGTGGGAACTTGAGCACCCATTTGGCCATCCCAAGTCCCTTGGGTACCAAATTTCTCAACTGGACGAGCCGAAGTCGCCTCCAAGCTAGCTCTCTTCACTTTCTGCCTATTTTAGCTCTTGTTTTGCTTGTATTCATCACTTCAGTTAACTTTTCTGTTTGTAGACCTTTTTTTCAACATCTCAAAACCAGCTTCTCCTTGTGCACATTGTGCACATAGGTCTGATTTTCTACAAACGTGTTAACCAATGCTAACGTGGCTAAAAAAACGTTAGAGCCGGGTCAGATTTCCCGGGACCACAGCCGGCCCAGGTTATGCTGCCCTCGACCTAGGGATGAGCAAAGGGCGAACACGAACATGTTCGTCTTCGCCCCTTGTCGAACACCCTCTTTTGCCGAACCGAACAGTGTTCGGTTCGGCGAACAGTTTAGGAAAAAACAGGTGTTCGCTGTTCGCCTGTGGAGGTGTGTTCGGGCGAACCTCGAACACTGTTCGTGTTCGTCGCGGGCAAATTTCAGCAGCGGCCCGAACACGAATGTGTTCGGGCGAACATCGAACACTGTTCGGCGAACGATTTGAGCTAAAAAACAAAACCTGTTCGGTTCGCCTCGAACACGTTCGAGGCGAACCGAACAGATGTTCGCCACCTTGCTCATCCCTACCTCGACCCGTCACATTCAGCCGGGCCATGGATCGACAACCATGTTTGGCCGGCCTGGCCTGGGCTGGCTCAGTCTAGGCGCACCAGCATGGCTGGTCCGCCCTGGACGGGCGTGGGGCGGCGTGTGCTCATCCCCAGTTCGAAAGCCCAATATTATAACCTCCTTTTAATGCCATCACAGAACCTATTTATTTATATTCGTAGGCTAAACCATGTGTTAGTGTTGCCTGATCTATCTATCATCCCCTTCCCTCCATCTCCTCCCATTTTCCTTGCATGGCTCACAGTGGAAGAAGTTAATGCAACAAAACACCAAACTAATGCTTCTTTCAGGTTTCTACCACCTCCATGCATGCAGGCATATGCAGACAAAATGTCTCAAACCACCTTGATGGATTCAATAATCTTTCTTTTTGTCTCCTTCAAATTTATAATGTTCCCCACCCATTCCATCCATCAGCTTCTTATATAACGAAGGCTTAACCGGATCTATTGCGGTCTCCATCAGTGCCTTGGACAGGCTCACCTATCTGTGAGTATGAGTTGTTGGAGCATGCACATATGAGTATGAGCAAGTAGAGATGGGCATGTGTAGAGATGAGCATGAGCAACGGCCTACATTGTGATGAGCCGCAGAGGTCACCATCATCTTATGGTGGCTAGCCAGTGGCCTTCTTGTCACGAGCCAAAGAATGGCCTTGCCTATCTACGTGGTGAACGTGTTACTTACTATTGAGATCTAGAAGCTCGGAAGCACACCTTGAATTCACACTTATCAGTTCCCACGGAGTTACCTTTAATGGTCCTCGGGTGCCTGGCAAGGCCAACCCCTATCCAAGGATCCGTGTTATATAGAGGGACACGCCAAGTATGAGACCAATCATGTGCAACATAGCTAAGTGGGAATATACGCGTATAGCGTATATACGCGTGTCGTATATACGCTAGCGTATATACGCTATCCGCTTAGGGGTCCGGTTTGCAGATACGCTTTTTCGGGCAGAGGAAAAACTTTCCGGGCAGGTGAAAAAAGTACTCCCTCTTCTTATTAAGGCTTGCCCTAGCATAATCCTGAATCCGAATGACTAGTACAATGGGAGGTGGAGTAGACCTAATAGCTTGAAAGCGAAGTAGCGTGAACTCTGGTGAAAGCGGGAACGAAATGACGAGTTAGGGTTAGCCAAAAGGGTTGGCTGGTAAGTACCGTGAGATTTGTTGGGGGGTTAAATTTGACAGGTTGGTGTTTGTAGATAAAGTGGGGTTCAATGCGGTAGAAGGGATGGATTTCAATCCCTGTATGGATCTCAAATTCAAGATTTGCCAGACGACTTCGAAGTCAGATCCCCGTTTGCCTAGACCGCGGATTTGAATTTCGACTATGGCGAAATGCTCACCTAGGAATTCCGCATCTTTTTTGCGATTTTTTTTCGGGCAGCCCTAAAAATTTTCTGATAGCGTATAGCGTATTCGCTAGCGTATAGCGGATAGCGTATGTACGCTAGCGTACATACGCTATACGCTTAAGGTGTTAAGCGTATATTCCCACTAAGCAACAGAGCACTCCCAGACCCCTTGCGTAGCATTGAAGACGAATTACAGAAAGTTTTTTTTTTTTTTTTTTTTGTTCACATCAATACGTTGATAGAGAAGAAGTTCCATTCAAGGATTGAATTACAACCTGTCACTGAATTGATTGTTGTTTGCAATATATTCAGTTACTCGCTAGCGTAGGTGTAGTAGGGTTATTAGAAGCAGGGTAGAAGGTGAGTTTGGGGCGTGGGTGCGAAGTGGTGACCCATGGACTTAGGGATGAGCAAGATCCCGAACGCTTGTTTGGTTCGCCTCGAACATGTTCAAGGCGAACCGAACAGGCTTTTTTTTTTGGCTAAATTGTTAGGGCCGGACATGTTAGGTGTTCGGCCGAACATGTTCGACGTTCGGCTTTGGATTTCGCCTCTCCAAGCCGAACACGAACATGTTCGTGTTCGGCTGGGATTCGACGCGAACACCAAAAGTGTTCGCGTCAAAATTGGCCGCGACCAGATGTAGGTCGCGGCCAATTTTTGTTTGAGCTCATTTCGTGAGCTCAAACTCAGAAGTTGTTTAGGCTTTAGCGCTCCCTCACACAGCCGCCCTAGCCTCCTTGTTCTAGGTGCAAGCAAGTGCACGTTAATACTTGGAGTGTAAACGAACATTACATAGATAGATCTATGCATAGGGTTTAACGTAGTGTAGGGAGTTTAGGGTTACTATTAAGGTTCAGCGAGCATCTCCGCAAAGGGCTCAAGTAGGGCGTATCCTTCGCCGTAGGATTCGGATCGGGCATTAGGAACGTGCGGCACCATCCAACGCTAACGTTGCCTTAGGGGGTTTTAGGGTTTAGGGTCGAGGGCGGAGTGATGGCTTCCAGGGGTGGTGGATCCATAGGCCGAGGTGCAGGCAGGGCTCAGGGCAGCGCACCGGGATCTCCACCACGACATATGCAGGGGCGAGTAGGGGATGGACCGGGTGGAGCCGGCGCGATCTTCGTTGGGGGGTTGCTTACCGTACCGGCGCCGAGCTCTCGTCGCTCTTTCCATTACGACGGCCCTCGGCCCCCTCCTTCGGGGAAGACGCCGACGCAGCCGGAGAGCGGCAGTGAGGAGGATGAGGAGGAGGATGGTGAGGGCGAGAAGGAGGAGGACACTGAGGGGAGCGGGGATGACAGCGAGGCGGCGTGGGACCCAGAGACGCATGGCAGTGGGGAGGGGGGAGATGATGATGATGAAGACCACGAGATGGATGGGTTGGAGCCAGAGGGGCGGGAGGAGGAGGTGGGAGAGGGTGGTGGAAGGGCGGCGACAGAGGCGGGATCACAGCATGTGCGTGAAGGGGGAGGGAGCGTGGGGGTTAAGGTGGGGGGGGGAAAGGCCGTGACCATTAGGGAGCCGAGGCAGAGGAAGAAAGCGAACAAGTTGAGAGAGCGGGCGTATCCCTGCACGTTCACTGGGGAGCCCTTGGGCGAGGGTGTGATCGCTCCCGAGTTCCTAGACGAGGACGGAGGGTCCGAGAGTAGTAAGGGGACTGGCAAGGGTAATAGGAAGCCGGGGTGGCAAGTTATGATGTTCGGACCGTTAGGGGCAGACGATAAGCGTTAGTGCAAGATTTGCACAGACAGGATTTCGTGGAAGCAATCCACAACAACCCCGGGCGAGCGGCACTTTGCGAGCTTCCACACTGCGCACCTGCATGTGTGCCATCACCGTTACCACACCCCGTCCGTTCACTTGCCAGGGGAGACGTTTCCCCGAGGGGGCTACAAGGGAGTGCCGGATGGCTACGTCTATCAGTGGCCACATGCCAAGACTTGGCCGCAGCTCGCCAAGGGGAAAGCGATGGCGACTGGTGGAGGTGATGGGTCAGGAGGGATCGAGCGGTGGATGACAACCAAACTGACCTCGGTGCAGCTACGGCAGGCGATCACGAAGCTGGTGGTCACCTGCGACCTGCCCTTCCGCATCGTCGAGGCCGAGGCTGTAAGTGCCCCATCCCATCCCATGCATGATTGGGCAAGTATGTGGTTAGTGGACGTGTCTGTCCCTTTGTGTTTTGACTGTTTGCGTGTGGCCCAGTGCAGTGCTATATTATTTTCATCCCATCCCCCTGACGTGTACTCCCCTCTCCCCCCTTGTCTCTTCCCCTCTCCAGTTTCGTGAGCTACTCATCCTGTTAAACCGCAACTGCGCGCAGAAAAACTTCATCCCCTCGCGCTGGACGGCTTCCCGCGACACAGTGGTCTATGCGGCTGCCGCTCTTCAGTCAGCCATCGCGGAGATGCTGGCGAAGGAGGGGGAGCTGGGGTACAGGGTGTCGTTCACCATCGACATGTGGACGTCGCCCAACAACAGGGCGTGGCTAGTGGTAACGGGTCACTGGATCGACGAGAATTACCAGCTGCGCACAATGGTGTTTGAATTCCGCGAGATTCACGGACGTCACACGGGCAAGCAGATGGCGAGGGTGGTTGAGGAGACGGTGGTGCAGTGGGGGTTGGAGACGCGTTGTCTTGGGTTCACCTCGGACAACGCCTCCAGCAACACTGCCGCTTTCAGGTGGATGTCGGAGGAGGGTGGTGGCCAGTGCTTCTTCAACTCGCGCATGCACTTCCGGTACGAAAGGGAGTGTGCGTGGGATGTGCGATGAGGGAGACTGGGTGCGTCGTTCCTGTGATGTGAACATGTTGTGGTTGTAGTACAGGCGGGTGGGCCTATGCGGCTTGAGAGTGGTAGTGTATCTTGGATCTATGCCAATGTGCACTCACACTTCCCTTTCTCTCCGCCATGAATGTTTTGTGATGTGCGCAGATGCCTGGCACACGTGATCAACCTTGCAGTGAAGGCAGCACTCGCTGTGACCGCCATCCGCAAGTTGCTGAAGATTCTGAGAGAGATGGCGTCGTGGATAGGCTACTCGCCACAGCGCTCGGGGAAGTTCTTGGGCCTTCAGCGGACTCTGAACGCGCAGGGCAACCCCGCCAAACCGAAGCCAGCATTGAAGCTGGTGCAGGACAGTCCCACACGCTGGGGGTACCCACGACATGGTCGAGCGAGCCGGGGTTCTGCAGGAACCCATCTCTGTCTTCTTTGCCCAGACACAGGTGTGTGTGTGTGCCAGGTGTTGTGTATGCTGTTTTATGTGTTGGTATGTCGGTCGGGGTGTTTTCTCCTGGGACTTGCACCACTGTTGGCCATGCTTGACTAAACTTTTCGGACCTCCAACAACCTCAACCACCCCACTTTCCATCCTATCACCCGCCCACCCATACGTTCTACCCGACAGGGCGTGTTGAAGGCTGACAAGGCGAAGATGGACACCTTGCGCCTGACGGACGCAGACTGGGAGACTCTGCATTCTGTCAAGACCTTCCTCAGCCCATTCGCCAAAGTCTCCAAGGCCGCAGAGGGAGCGGCGTACCCTACAGTGTCGATGGTCCTGCCGTACTACAACGGCCTGATCGACACTATGGAGTCGCGCCTTGCCAAGGGGCCATCGGCTATGCTGAAGCCGATGATTGAGGCGGCGCTGGGTCTCTTGAAGAAGTATGAACTGATGTCAAGCAACGAGTTGTGGATCGCCACCTGGACCCTTCCATGAAGGCGGCGTGGTTTGACGACGCGCACTGGGAGACGCTGCATCCCGATACAGAGCGAAGGGCGAGGCCTCGTCCCTCGTCAGGCAAGGTGATCCAGCTGGTTCGCGAACGCGTGGCCGAGTACCAGGCCCGGGCTGCAGCGATTGCCCCTCTGCCGACCCCACTTGCCCCAGTGACGGAGGAGGAGGGAGACGCGGCGGATGACGACGAAGACGCCGAGTTTCTCCCTAGTCGCCGACGCCTTGCGGCGCGTCTGTCGGCGAGCCAGGAGGCGGGGAGGGGTGGGATGGTGCAGGATGACGAGGTTGGCAGGTACTTATCAGAGAGGGTGCGGTGCGACGTGTCTGCGTTGGAGTATTGGCGCAGCGCCACCAACATGCAGACGCTGAGGCGCATGGCCCGGGATTATCTTGCCATCCCTGCCACGTCCGCGTCGAGCGAGCGCGTGTTCTCCCTCGGCCGCAACCTCATATCCTGGAAGCGGCACCGCCTAGCCTCTCAGAGGACACGAGCTTCCATGGTTCTCAGATCATGGTACACCTCACACCCTGGACAGAGGATAGGCGAGGGCCGCCGTGCAAAGGGCGAGGCACCACCAGAGTTCGCCATTGAAGGCGAGGGGGAGGAGGAGGACGACGAGTGGGAGGAGGAGGAGGGGGAGGAGGAGCAGGTGGGGGTGGGTGCTGGCGACACCTCTGACGCGGAGCATGCTGTTGTTGGTAGTAGCAGTGGTGTGCAAAGTAGGATGTAATTTGGCAGTGACTTTTATATAGGCACTACATGATGGTGTCGTATGCTAGTGTGCGTTGCATGATTATATATACACCCTCCACCCCCCTATCTATCTTCCCAACCCTCCAGATTCCGTGTTTCTCTATTGTGATTATAATGAAAGTGACCACGGGCGAACTCGAACATGTTCGGTTCGAACATGTTCGAGTTCGCCCACACATACCAAATGTTCGCCCCCAAGGGCGAACGGCGAACAGCTGCTGAACCCTAAGTTGTTCGCCGAATCGAACTGTGTTCGGTTCGGGAAAAGTTGATGTTCGAGCGAACTCGAACCCAAACGTGTTCGAGTTCGCCATTTGCTCATCTCTGCATGGACTTGCGAGGCGCAGGGTGGGACAAATTCAAGGGCGAGCCCTGGGCAATCGGAAGGGCCATTCCGGAAGCCTAGTGGGCGGAGCCCAATGTGACTTACGCGAAACTGCACGACACGGGGTAGAGACTCAAATAGGCTAGAACTCACTGCTTAGTTCGTTCTCTTGTTTGTTTGCCTAATATAGTGGATGTACGTTGCCGATCGACGCTACTATAGCTAGGTGACCAAGCCACTGGGGGCAGCCATCTTGTGGGAGGGAGGATCTCTCACAAACAAGAGAACGAAGATCGGGCAGAATGGACTGCCACGAGCTGCGCTCGCAGCAGATGAACTTGTGTCAGGAATTTCCGCCGTCGCGGAGGTTGCGCTCACTGTAGCGCGGGAGATTGCGGACGCGTTCGCCACGGAGGGCGGCGCACCGCATGGATCTGGTGTTTGGCGGACATCGAGAAGGAGGCGAGGACGATTTGCACGCGGGATCGGAGTCCAGGCCTCAACCGTCCAGCAGCAGCCCTTGGTTTCTGGCGCGCGGCCAGCAAGGAGAGGGTGGCAGGCGTCGCGACGACGCGGATATGGTGGACTCGTCGGATTCGGCAAGCAAGGTCGATGGAGAGGAGGAAGCAGACGAGATCCTGATGGCGCGGGATGGTGAGAAGGACGACGTCGCGGAAGAAGAGTGCGGCGAAGGGAGCAAAGACGCAGGCAAAGTTGGCTCGCCGGTAGGGATGTGCGGAGGCTGCGCGAAACAGCGCGAGAGCGCGGATATAGGTTGCTCGGCGGACGAATTGTGTGAGGGCAGCGCGAGGCACCAGCGGAACCATGTGGATCCAGATCGCGCGCCACGGGAACACCGTTATGATGAACGTTCACAATTACAAAATGGTTTCTCACCGTATTTCATGAAGCCTTACAGTTACTTCACGGGTTTTCACCGCTTTTCCCTATGTATAAATTGTCTCTTTACGTGCACTGCTTTCCCGCGAAATTTACGTGTTGCCTCGCATAGTAAATGACGTGGCTCGAGATTCAGTTACGAAATTGCAATCTTGAGTCAAACCCGAGCACCCCTCGGGATCTCTTGACACCCCCAAAACACACGCGCACCCCTCAGGTGTGCAATCTGCAAGATCGATATTTTCGGTCGTGCTCAATAGTGCACAGACATGCCCTATTTGTTGCGACCATTGGCCTTGTGCCCTCGCGTAACAGTAATGTGCCACACCCTCGCATTAACTACGAGACACACGCTCGAGCCCCTAAGTGGCAAAATACGCTTTTGCCTTTAAGCGTTTAGCGTTTATCCGCTTGCGTATACACGCAAAACGCTATACGCTAACGAATACGCAATACGCTCGGGGGTTTTTTTCAGGGCAGCCCAAAATCGAAAAAAAAATTGTATATCTGAAAAGTTTCGTCTTCTCACGGCGAAGAAGATGCCGTGCTCGAAATGCACGTCCGAGATCTACCCTGGCCTGGACGTGGCTTCAATGTATGGAGGTGAGTTGGTTTCCGTGCTTTCAATTCGCGGCCCCGCGACTGTGAGTTGGGTTATGTGGCTCCAATGTTTGGAGTCGCGATGTCCTTGACACTCCACATTGGAGTTCCACCAATTTGTACCGCTCTCGACCTACAAACTCCCTCCAATTCAACTTCTCCCCACCACTCCATCCCACGCTACTTCACAATCAGGTATTGTTCTCTCTCGTCAATGCATCCTCCCATGTACCTTCACAGACCTTTTTAGAATGTCTTCTGCAGATGTTAGCCCGACCCTGTCCACTCCCCCTCCTAATACCGGCACGGACAGTCCTGTTCAGTCGGCGCGAGTTTACCTTCCCGATGTCGACCACGAGGTGTTCAAGCATTTCCGCCGCATAAAGGTGGACGAGGGGAAATCGCAGCAATACGAGTGCAGGTACTGCTGCAATGTCTTTTCTGGCGCCGCCACCCGCTGCGCGCAGCACTTGGCGAGTTGGAGGAAGATGAGGCGCCGCGAAGTGGCGCTATGCAAGGAAGCCCCCTCTGAAGTACGGGCTGCCATCCGGAAGAAGTATGAGGCTAAGGCTGCAGCGGCAGATCAGCGCCGCCAGGCGACATCGAATGCCATTGCGTCGGTCACCAGCGGCGGAAAGAGGAGCCGCATTACTGACTACTTGGAGACGGATGCGGCAGCTGCGAAGCGCGATGCACACGAGGCGTTGGCGCTGATGTTCGTGGCGTGTCGAATCTCGGAGCGCGTGGCGGAGCACCCTCTCTTCATCAACGCCGTTTGTGCCATTAGGGACTCCGGCACAGGATACGCCCCCTCGACGAGGACGTTGATCGGCGGGGCGGGCTTGCGACTCTGTTGCGAGAACATCGACAGAGGGCTTTCTGGAGTGAAGGCGAGCTGGAAGCGGACCGGCGTGACAATTTCTTCTGATATGATGACTGATAAGAACGGTCGCCCCCAGGCGAACGTGTTTCTCGTCAACGAGAGCGGTGCGGTGTTCAAGGACAGCGTGGACTGTCGCATGGAGACCAAAACCGGCGGTTATGTCGCCAGCATCCTCAGGCCCGTGGTGGAGGAGGTCGGTCCAGATAACGTGGTGGCATTCTGCACGGACGGTGGGTCCAACTACGCGGTGGCGTGCAACGAGCTGATCGCGGAATGGCCGCACATTCAACACGTGCCATGCGCCACCCACGCGTTGGACCTCTTCATGGAGGACGTCGGCAAGATGACGTGGGCCAAGAAGGTGGTGGACACTGCGGGCGAGATGAGCTCCTTCGTCCGCAACCACCACTGGACAAGGGGAAACTTGAGGACCCCCGCACTGGTGGGTGCAAAGATGCTGCAAGCGCTGAAACCGGCTGGAACCAGATTCGGGACACAGTACATTGTTGTGTCCCGTCTCTGTGAGCCGCGGCAGTCGCTTGCACAGATGGTGGTGTCTGATGTGTGGAAGGGTTGGGCAGTTGGGGATAGGAAGAAGTCTGCGGATAAGTTTGCGTCACAAGTTCTTGATGACGCGTGGTGGCGGACGGCAGAGTTTTTCTCCAAGCTGATGAAGCTCCCGTTCATGGCAATGCGTAAGACCGATGGGGATGCCAAGGGGATGATGGGCCGGATGTATGACGTGATGCTGCAGTTGACCGAGGATGTGGGGACAGTGGTGGAGGAGGATGAGGAGCAGCTGAGCTACTCCGACAAAGTGAACATCCGCCGCCTGCTGAAGAACAGGTGGGGCGACAGCCTGGCCTGCCCCATGCACGTTGCGGGCAGAATTCTCAACCCGGCGAACCAGGATGAAGACATCTTCGGCTCAGACGCGGAGTGCACTAGGGTAACGTACATCACTCAGCACGCCGAGCACCTCTGCAATTACGGGAAGGAGGGGGATGATGGGGATGACATTGGCGAGGTTTTGATGGAACTGCAGGACGGGGTGAGGGCATTTCTGGATATGAAGGGAAGCTTCGAGATGGGGGATGCAATTGCTCAGAGGAACTTGGTCAAGCAAGGCAAGTATGACATGGTAAAGTGGTGGCAGTGGCACGGCACTGACGCACCAAAGCTGGCGGCCCTAGCCATCAGGAATCTCTCTCAGCCCGTGTCGGCTTCACCATGTGAGAGGGGATGGTCAACGTGGGATGGGGTGCACACGGCCCGCCGGAACCGGCTTGGCTATGCCAAGTGCCGGGATTTGGTTTTTGTTGCGCACAACTGGAGCGTTGTGCGCAACTGGCATTCCCGTGCAGATGTCATGCCGGGTGTGGTGCTCGGGAACATCCCGGAGCCTCCCGTGCCCGAGGGCTACAATGTGATGGAGGGGGACGAGGAGGAGGAGGAGGAGGGGGAAGATGACATTTTGGAGGATGAGTATGCGTAGGTGGGTTAATTGATCTGGACTAGCGTGAGATGTGTAGTAGTAGTAGTAGTATGGGATGGGATGAGTAGTTGTCATTGTGATGTTGGTGAAAAAAAAAAAATCGGGAAAAGAAACCGGGAAATCCTACCCCCATGGAAACTTACCCCAGTAGTATTGCAGGGGGGGTCTTATTTTAGCTGCCCGATGTTTTTTTAACCTGCCCGAAATAGCGTATCTAGGGTCTCAGGACCTTTGCGTATAGCGTATAAACGCGTGCGTATATACGACACGCGTATATACGCAATACGCGTATTTTGCCACTTAGTCGGGCCCTAAGGGCCCACGCGCGAAATCAAGACCACACGCGTGGTCAAGACTGTGAGTCTTAAAACGTACTAAAGTAGCTACTAACGACCTTTAGGTGCATTAGAACTCTCTCCTTGGGGTCACCTCCGAGGGTCCTTGGGTGCCTGACCGAGGTCAGCATCTATCCAAGGGTCGAAATATGTAGAGAGAGAGGCGTAGCAACAGCCAAAGTGTAGCATCAATCGTCCATTCGTTGTCAAGAGAATAAATTATGGTAGCGTACTTGCAGCATGCACAGAAGAAATCCTTTACTGAAGTTATATTTGAACAAAGCAAGTACAACCGGTTGATACTGAACCTATTGCAATCTATTCTAGCATTTTTTGTTTCTACTGTTTGTGACTTCCTTCGTCGTAGCGCGCACATTTTTCAAAACTCCCGCCACTTCATTTTGAGGTCTGGTGGGTTTGCGTCTCTTCGCCAAAAGATTTCGAACTTCCGGCGCGAGCAGCTCCAACGGTGGCAATTCGTAAAATATGCTTGGCGCCCTTTTTTGACCGGGCCACATTGATTCCGATCGATATGAGCGAAGTCAGCTTGTTCAGAACCTATTACAAAACCTCTTAGTAACCCGTTCGAAACCTATTCGTAACCTGTTCAGAACCTATTCGTAGTCTAACCTGTTCGTAACCTGTTCGCGATGCATGTTCAGAACGTTGATAACCTAACTCAAAACGAACACTTCGATGGACTCGCCACCAGCGGTAAATAACGTGTCACGAGCGGGTAACACTCGCATTACTCCCACGTGGCGCAAAGAGCTGCTCGTAAACTGACGAAATGAACACGCTCTGCGAGTAGCGACCAATTAGAGTACCTCGAAACTGGTAGCGCGAGAAGTTGCTCGCTCGACCGTAACCCGAACTTCCGTTTGAACTGCAGCCAATCAAAGCTGCTGAAAATCATCACAGCTCGAACAGTTTGCTCGCTCAAATCACTTGAGCAACTGCCAAGAGCGTCCCTCAGTAAATCGTGGCACGAGCAACTGCTACCTCATTATCAGCTCAACACTCCAAGTCAACTTTTTTTCTCGCCCCCAAAGTCAGCCTTTCAAGACCTCTCACTAATAAAAAACTCGCTTTTCTGCTGCAGCTGCTGAATGCAAACCTTCCCAGATAAAGTCGGCTGATTGAAATACAGAAAAGGATTTGTGTAATCTACAAAGATTCATGCGCGCTAGACCATTGACCAAGGCGAAAATGTCCAAGGGTCAATGTTGACCCTTCGTGAACACCCACGACATTTCACGATCACACACGGAAAATGAGAAATAGAAACTAACTTGAGCACTCACAAACATTCATGAACAACGCACATACTTCAAGGAGTTTCACGAATGCAAAAATTCACGAACATAAAATCAATGCACTCATGACAACTCACGAAGCATCGTAAAAGCACACGAAGTCTCGCAATCACACACAGACATTCACGAACACTCAGGAACACAAATTTTCACAAAATGCACAGAACTCATGAACCGTAGAGGCAATTTACGAGTCGTAAACACGGAAACCTGAGGCACAAAATTGCGCAACTCACATATAATAAATTACTTGAAAACGAAATACCACACACTCAATGTCGACGAATAGGTGGTAGGTTGTCGTGCAAACCATGTGTTGCACCGAACGACACCTACCTACGAGGGGTTGTAGGAAAATTTCCGTATAAACGGTCCGAAGTAAAAACAATCTTCATGAATTCCTCCTAAAGTGGTCGAACCTAATGTAGCAAACAACAAAGAATGAGTTTGACAACCAACAACCTTATCTTATTGTTGTGCGCATGGACCGACACTCTCAAAAGGTTGCAAGGTTGTTAGTTGAGTTGAGTATTGATTGTCTTAATGTTAACAGTTCGCTATCTCAGGACAATGTTTTGAGCACATTTGTATTTGCGTACCTCGTTCCTCAATTAAATGTAATGTTCCACTTCTACAAATGCTTATTAGAGTAGATGTGTGAGCGATTATAATTACTTGTTCAACTTTCATGTTTTTTTGAAACTCTTCCACTTCTCTCTCACCCCAACTACTTACTCTATCCTTCCTTTCCCTTGGATGGAACCCGTTGCGTATATGTATCATCAGGGATCTATCACATAATGGATTGACTGGGTCCATTTCAACCATCATCGGCATGAGCAGACTAAATTTCTTGTATGTATCAATTAAATTTTATTGAAACTTCACCTTTAGCTTGGATGACTCTGATTCATACCTTCAATGACTACTAAACTCTCGTTATTTGTTTGATTTTAGCATGAGCAAGTGTTGACTACTATTGAGACTAGAAATCTCCAAGCACACCTTTAATCACCACCCAGTTACCCCCACGTTAGGGCTAAGCACGAGATGAACATGAACGTGTTCGCGTTCTCCTTCGCTCGAACAGGGCCGTTCGGCGAACCCAAAGCTATTCGGTTCGCCGAACAGGTTTCGCCCAAAATGGTGTTCGAAGTTCGCCTGTGAAGGCGAACATTTCGAACACAATTGCGAACACGAACATGTTCGCTAGAAATACGTTCGTTCGTGTTCGCGAGGAACACGTTCGTTCGTGTTCGCCAGGAACACGTTCGTTTGTGTTCGCCAGGAACACGTTCGCGTTCGCCCGGAACACGTTCGTGTTCGCCCCAGAGGGCTTAGGATTACAAAACACATGATTACAACACTGCCAATGCATCCATGTGGAAGGGTTTTCAGTTTGGTAGTGATTTGCCTTCCCATCATGGTGTTTATGATAACTTTGATAAGCATAAATAACGTGCGGCCTAAAACATGTCTATGATCCAAGGTCTACATGACATTCAACATGGAAACGTCACCAAAGGCCCCTTGATTGCCCACCAACAAAACCATAACTACATCCTGGTCCCAACCCCGCTACCAACACCACCATCCTCACCACCCGTTGCTGCAACCGCACCTCTCCCCTCTGCCGCCTCCTCCACCTCCTCCGCTGCCTCCTCCTCCTCCTCCTCCTCCTCCTCCTCCTCCTCCTCCTCCTCCTCCTCCTCCTCCTCCTCCTCCTCCACCTCCTCCTCCTCCTCCTCCTCCTCCTCTGCCTCCTCCTCCTCCTCCTCCTTCTCCTCCTCCTCCTCCTCCTCCTCCTCCTCCTCCTCCTCCTCCTCCTCCTCCTCCTCCTCCTCCTCCTCCTCCTCCTCCTCCTCCTCTGCACCCTCGCCTTCAATAGCGATCTCCAGACTCCAGTGCTGCGACCCCTCTCGTGCGGTGGCCCTCGCCGATCCTCTGGCCAAGGTGCGATCCATACAACGATGTGAGAATCATGCGGGATTGCGCCCTCTCGGAGTTGTAGGCGGTGACACTTCCATGAAATGAGGTTGCGGCCCAAGAAGAACACGCGCTTGCTCGCAGAAGACGTGACAAGGATGGCGAGATAATCCCTCGCCATCCGCTTCAGCGTCTCCATCTTCGTGGAGGTGCGCCAGTACTCTAGTGCTAACACATCGTACCGCACCCTCTCGGAAGTACCTGCTGACCTCATCATCGTGCACGAGACCACCCCCCTTTCACAGATGCAACCCAACACAAAAACTCACATACCTCATGAATTGTTGAGGCAATACATGAACCATAAATGTCCAAACTCAAAGCACAGAATTGTGCATCTCACACACAACAAATTACCTTCAAACAAAGCACTCCACTTTCCTTCAATGTCGGCGAATAGGCGGTAGGTCATCGTGCAAACCATGTATTGCACTTGACAGCAAGGAGAGTCGGGCCATCACGCCGACACTCTCTCTTAGAAAACGGGATCTAGAAAGATTACGGGGCGGACATAACTCAAAATCTTCAACTAAGTTTCTTGACAAAAACGTCGATGTCACAAGAAACGCAGTCGACGATAAAATAGCTGTTCGAACTTCACAAACACCTAAGTACGTTGTGGCTCTTAAACATGTCTTTCATTCCCATTTTGAAAAATGTGAAGTAAAATTGAAGATATGAATTTCGGTGCACAGGGGGAAATGCTGTAGCTAAGACTTAACTAAATCACAATAGTTCAACCAAGAACCACAAAAGCAATTGAAGTAGTAAGAAACTAGGTGGAAAAAAAAAAAGACGTCAGGAAAGGTCCATAATCATACAAACACCCTTTCAATAGGAACATAACTTTGATGTCTGTTATTTTTCCAACCTATGCAATTTACTTCACCCATATTGACTATATTTGCCAACATGGTTTGGCTTCTCCCAACCACTTGGCAGTAGAGATGAGCACATGGACGAACCCCTGTTCGGATCGCCTCGTGTTCGTTGACGAATTGGCCGTGACCATATTTAGGGTCGCGAACAATTCTGTTTGGGCTCATTTCTTTGAGCTCAAGCTAGTTGCGTCAGGTCGCCACCACCAATCCGCCCCCCTACCCAGCCTCACCTAGCACTAGCCTTAGTTCAACAATGCTTCACCAAATCGGTGTCTACCGGCCGACGCGTACTAGTAGATTGGGGTTACTATGACGAACGGCCAGGTTTAAGTAGAGTGCTAGCGTTTAGGGTTTCGGACGTTGAATGCGTAGAAAGTGCAACAATTTCCTGCCCGTGCCATAAGCCACAGAGTTACTCAGAATAACGGCAGTTGCGCGTCACCCTAGTACCATTCACGGTGCCTTGCTGGTGCGTTTGCATTCTATCTAGGATGTGGTTTCGGTGGTGTGCGTTCGTTGGGGCACCTTTGTTGCCTTTGACCTTTTAGAGACACCATAGAGATAGAATTTGTTAACCCGTTATTATAACTCGTTGTAGTTAGTATAAACGCATAACACGTACACAAAATCACTGCCAAGCCATCTACCAATCTTCAGACCCTTTGTATCCATGCGTGACTATAATGAAATGCTCCCTTGGGCGAACACGAACATGTTTGCCGCGAACACATTTGTGTTCGCCTTAATGTTCGAGATGTTCACCCTCAGAGACGAACCTCGAACACCCTTTTTGGTAAAAGGTGTTCGGTTCGTCGAACGGCCGTGTTTGAGCTGAGGGCCATCCACTGAGATGGGGAGGATTTCTAGCTCCGCTAACCAGGTACACTTTGCTTACATGGCTGAACCACGCTGCTCTTCGGAACTCAGAGCTGGGGAGCGAGATGGTACACTGCGATGACCAACACTGGCAGAGCAAGTGCGAGAAAGATCTCTCCCGACTGCCGTGAAATGTCACCAGCCATCCTCCCTCTCACAGTGGTGACCTCCACTTCAGCACTGGGGTCTGCCACCTATCTCTAAACATTCGCCTCACGACAAGGTTGTGCAATGTTCAATTGTCAAGATGCATGGGTAAGGAAGATTCTAAAAATTTCATACATGGAGAGGAGAATGAAATCAAAACCTTTGACACAAAGCTTGTCGTAAAGAGCAAAGAACACTCATGCTGAACCATTCCTAAGCTGGCCCTCAAAATTGGTCAATTTCAAAGGTGATGTCATATTTTCCTCTGAAGAATATATTTCCACCAACACAACTATGTTCTCAAATTTAATCGGCTCAAAAAGCCCTCACATGCCGACTGAGCATGAACACTTATCCAAGCAAACTCAAATTCAAAATTTACTCATATTTCTTCCAAAACTAGGAAATGCTAGTACAAGATGATTGACAACGATGCACAATGACCTCGATTGGATATGGTCACAATGACCTCGATCTACTTTGTCCGTCAGTTTCAAACCCAACCAGCGCGACAAATGTCACGCTGATGTTCGCGGAATTGGGAGAATCGCCTGAACATGTACGATGTTTGGGCATTTCTCCCATGCGCGCCGCGAATGTCCGAACATGTTCGGGCGAACATTTAGGCAAAACAAAAACCGTATGTTCGGTTCGCTCCCGAACATGTTCGGGCAAATTGAACATACTTTCGCCCCCGTGCTCATGTCTATGTGTGAGCTATTGTGATTACTTGTTCAACTCTCATGGCCTTTTCAAGCCCCTCCAATTCTCTCTCCCCCCCAACCACTTACTCTACCCCTCTCTTTTTTTGGATGTAACCCGTGGCGTGTATGTACCATCAGGGATCTATCACATAACGAATTGACTGGGTCCATTCCATCCACCATCGGCAATATGATCAGCCTTACATATCTGTCAGTATCAAGGCAATTTTTATTGAGCTTTCACCTTCAAGTTGGACGGCTTTGAGTAATTCATTCAATTACTGCTTACAGCTTGTATGTGGTTCGATTTGGGCATGAGTGTGGAGGAGCCGGGCCAGCCCGCTAGGGCCATCGAGGACGATTAAAGTGGTATTGGGTTGGTTTCACAACAAGACTAAGGGAGGTCCATCCCATGGTGACAGACAGGGGCTTCCCACTAATCCATGCGAAATTGGGATTTTCCAATCAGATCCGCGACAATGAGCATCATGTCTGCCAAATCAGTGCGTACATGGCTTCAAACATGCCACTCTTGGGCCGTGGCATGGTAGACACAGTACATGCCCTTGTTGCAGCAAGCCGACGAAAGTCCAATGCTTGAATTGCTACTCGATGGGTAAAAAGGTTGGCCTTCTTCTGGTCCTATACCCCTTTCTAATGCACCTTGCTGGCCCTTGCATGACCCTATTTGTATGTCTCATTCCCGCACAATCATGGTCATAATGCGGTTCTCAAACCGTATTTGTGCTACCGTTGGTAAGAAGCATGTGAGAACTGCTTTTGTTTTCATAATTAGGGAGGGCTAGAGCCGTAACTAGGCTGGTCTGGTTTATGCGTCTATGGTCAGACATGACCGGTAGGGGATTGGGAGGGTTTGGGATGGGCATTATTCTTGCTTTGATAGCCGTGGCCCATCTGTTTGAGTTGGGCCAATCTTAATCTGCCACTATCGTAAGAAGCCTCATGACGAAGGGTCCAAGCCTGTCACAACTAGCATTTGACACCATCTGAAATTTCCTCAGGGAGGCATGAAATACTCTTTAAGATTCAAATCGGGTACGAACATAGGACCAAGATAAGCCGGTGTATTTCAAGTTGCCATGAGCCAGGGGGCTGACGAGCCAGTTGGGCAACTGATCCTGATCAGGCTCGTGGCTTGTATCATAGGCTCCCCCATCGTAGGCACGCTAGTCAAGCCGAGACAAGCAGGTATGGCTTACCACCTTCTGCCAGACCCAATGAGCCACACTAGTTCAATGAGCCAACAAGATGGGTCTTGGCTCGTCGAGACCCCCTTGATTCCAGCCATTTGATACTCAGATCGCCGGCTTGTCTTAACTCGATTGTCATGTTGGACCTGTGGTCTAACAAAAGGTGGAAATACAAGAATGACCTCCAACTATGTCAACCAAGGGTCATATGTGTCCCACAGGACTCAAGAGTCATGATTCTCTGCCTGACATCAACAGGATTTGTCAGGACATGGGAACCAGCCCAAGTGTGCTAGCGCATGGGATATGTTAGCATGATTCTCTTGCGGGATCATATGTGCTGGGCATGCTCGGTTGTTGAGTGACCTTGTTCGGCATTGATGGGGTTTGTCATGGGCTACGGGTTTGAAGCAGCCTGGTTTGACAGGCATGCTCAGTGTGCACCAGACCGGTTCAAACAGTCTGTTACAAGTGCGGGCTGGCCTATGAAAATCAGGGCACTATTTGACCTTTGATGAACCAGTTTGACATAAGTTGCAAGAGAAGCTGCCCTTGGTCATGTCATGTGTACTGAAAGGCATTGGACTGCAAGCATGAGCATGCCCTCTTTGACGCGTCAATGTGCTCTTAAGTTGGACTTGGATTTCTCTCTTTCGGAGTCCCATGAAGTTCTCAAATCCCCTGATGTTCTCCGCGGGGACATCGTGCGAGGATGTCCTCACGCGGTGTGTGAGGGGAAGATAAGCACACAAGGTGGTTTGTGGCATATGCACCTTATAGGAACCTCAGCAGCAAGCTCCATCACCTGACCCATGTGTGTGCTCCATAAGCATGTGGCAACTCAAGAGGAAGCTGCCTGACCATCTGCTCCACAAGTATGCCTTTCACTGCAGCTTCGGTCTGCTTGCCTGCAATCACTTTCGACAGCAGCAATCGTAGTTGAGTAATAAGATGAAATGTTGACTGCAATATGTACATCCCAGAAAGGATGGGTGCATCTGGGACCAAGGCAAGATGCAGGAAGCAGTGGGCTGATGGGTGTGAGGAGCTGTGGCAGGAAGAATTGAAGCCCATTGCCGCGCTTTGGAACTTATGATGGTCCCACACGAAGCTGTGCATTAGAAGGGAGTACCTGCACGAGTACAAATTAGACTCGAGGTGAATTGGGGCTGGAAGGTGCTCCTGAAGTGGTGGGGAGAGTCCGGCACCATTCTTCCTCGGCGGCACCAATGTTCGCATCACCAGGGGAATCTTCTCCAAGGCTGGCTCTGCTGCAGTGGCAGTCAATTCCGCAAAATTTACAACTGTAGCAATGGCCGGCAGGTGTGGGGTCGGTCCTGATTGGCAGAACTACGCCCCGCATGCTGCCAACACATTTTTTCTCATCACTGTGATGACAGCCGAGCAGAGGAGGACTGCCATTGACACTGGGAGGACTTGGTCCTTTAACCGGCACACTTCAACCCACATGGTTGAACATCTGTGCACTTTGGAACTTAAGGCGAGGGAGGGAAATGGTGCACGTTGATGACCAACATTAGCAGAGCAGGTGCGAGTGAGATCTTTCCCGACTACGTGTCCCGTGTCCAGCTC